GCCATCTGTATGGCCCCCTGTCCCTTTCTCACACACGCCAAGCTCTCTCCCGCCTCGGACTTTGCGCATGCTGTTCCCTCTGTTTGGAACGTGCTGTCCCCTCATTTGATGGTTGGCTCCTCTTCATCCTTTAGGCTTCAGTTCAGATGTCATCTCTAAGAGGCCTCTGCTACTGACCCAATCAAATGGCATCACCCTCCCACAAACACTTTTTGGTATAACCTATTTATTTTCTTTATCATAATTTAATATCGTTATTTGTTTACGTACATGTTTTCTGTTTATGCAGACAAGACACAGGCTTTAGACACTCCTTCCCCTTCCCCAAGGTGACTTTCATTGTGTTTGTCTAATAATTAAAGTAGTTCCTGCAACCTTTTATAACCCACTAGTTGCTTTGCCTGTCACTGATCATTAGTAAAATTTCCAAGACTTTAATAACAGAAGTAATGATTTATAAATGGCATTAAATTTGGGGGGGTTATATCCTAAGAATGGATAAGAAATGTATATCCATGGTTATACATTTCCTTATCATGTCATTGCTACTATGAAAAATTGAGCTATTTCGAAAGAGTATATAATATGAATTATTCTTGCCTACACTTCGTCATAGTAAATTTATTAGTCCATTCTAAATTATGTTTAGAGTGATGTTTGAATCAATGACAAAGGTAACTTTCTAATTTTAAAGATACGAGCATCGGTGTGCTGGCTTCTCTGGCCTGGCACGTAGTAGGTGCTCAATAAATATCTTTAACCTGGGCTGACATCTTTCTCTTTTTAAGTGGGAATCCTTAGATCAAAGGGAGCATCTTTTAAGGATTAACTTTTTTTTTTTTTAATGGAAAATGATCTGAGTCTTTAAGGAACACCAAGTTCCCCAAGGCTGTTGTTAATCATTGGTGGCCCTAAAGGAATTCGAATCTCTGAAGAGATATTTTCACCGTTAATCTTATCCTGTAATCCTCACGCATAGGAAGTTATCCGATAACTGTGGGGCATGGTCCATGCTGGCACGTTTATATGGTTCAGCGGTTCCTTGAAAATATTTTGGAGGCTCTTGGTATATTATCCAATGGGGACAAGAAAGATAAGGCCAGCGTTTTTGAAAACTATGTGGATGGCTCTATAAGTTTTGGCAAGGCCTTGGCTCCACCGCCAGTATTTTTCAGGGGTGGTTTTCACGCTGCCTCCACTGCAGAAGAACCTTATTATTATTATTATTATTATTATTATTATTATTATTATGTTTAGTGCAATGTTATGATGAATCTCAATTTTAAAAAACAAGTGATAGAGCTGCATTTTTTAAAGGGAGCTGGTGGCAGTGGAGAGCCAGAGACCCGTGTGTTCCCTGTCCGCACACACACACCTCCACCCCTGAGGCACCATGGCTCCCTACTGCTTTTCCCTCGAGCATCCCTAGCTAGCTCTGTGGCCCGTGGAATCTCTCGTATCCAAGATCGGGTATAATGGCATCTAATTCCAGGAGGCTATTTAGAGGATTGACTTGGAAAATGCACGTTAAGCTTAGCACAAACCCTGGCACAGAGTAACAAACATTTACTGTTCGTGTTAGTGTGGTGAAACCTGGCTGTCAGTCACCAGGAACTCACGAGCAACCAGGTCCATGAGAAAAGCATCAGTTGCAGGTGAAATTCGGGAAGAGCTGGGGACGCCGGGAAAATAGACTTCTTGGCCTTCTGTTTGGCTATGAGATCTGTCTGAAAATGCTCTCGGTGCGGGAGGAGTCAGTCAAGTATCTGTATGTGCTGATTTTCATAGGCATTGGAGTAGACAGCAAAACAGCTGTTCGCGAGCAAGCCGTGTGAACCATATTTTGTGGCCGTGCCAGTTAACTAATTTATTATTACACAGCCAGAATTAAAATACTTAATTTGATTGTACTCTGGAAGTTTGGAGATATTTTAAAACATTTAGGTTTAATAAGTCTGAAAGGGCTTTTGAAAAGCATTCTGAAAGGCATATATGCAGAGCGAAATAAGAATAAGATGGCTTCACTGGAGGATGGAAGTGACGTGAGCAAGCAGTGGCGGGACTTTAAAAGCGTGTGGAAGAGTGGACAGACGATTCGCGTTTTGGAAGAGAAGTAGCTAACCGTGTGGTAGAATGCTAATAAAGAAAAAATTAGGACAGACTAATGATATAAAATCCACTTTGGTCAAACGAATCTGCAGAGCGATGCCTACCCACAGAAGGTAATATTTTGAGAGGAGTGGAAGGGAATATTGTCAGTGAGACAAGGAAGAGGGGATTGTTCTGATACGTGGGACACGTTTTTCCAGGATTCCACAGGAAATTGATAACTCAAAAATTATTAAGAAATGGAAATTTTATATATTTAGTACTCAACCCTAGCAATTAGCTATAGACTTTTAACTACATGCATATCTTCTTTTTAGTTTTTCCTGACTAAAGCGTTTTAGTTTATTTTGTTTTGTGTTTTTATAATTGTTAAAAGTTAAGGTACTCCCCCTCCTTACTCCTCCAACCCTACCTCCGATAATATAACCATTGTTGTGAGTTCAGATTATATGCTTTTCTTTCTAAACAAAAAGGAGCTGTACTTTATGTTTATTTTGCAACTTGCTTTTTCACTCACTATGTCTTGCATGTGACTCTAAGTCAGTGGTTCTCAACTGGGAGCAATTTTGTCCCCCGGGAGACACCGTCTGGAGACACTTTTGGTTGTCATGGCTGTTGGGGGGAGAGGGAGGTTGCTACTGGCATCAAGAAAGTAGAGGCCAGGTCTATACCATC